TACCCTTTAGTCAGTTTTGACCTAAGAAATGTGGGGAAATGGGACGCAGCATGGCATTGGCAGGCTATGGAGCTGTCCATCTGCTTTCAGTTCTAATTTGACCGGGTTGCATCAAAGAAAGCCTATTTCCTCAAAGATCGTGTCTACGAGGTCTGCATCTTTGTTGTTTATCCTCCTGACTAAACCAATTCTCTTTGCAATGCTCCCTTCCATTTGGTTGCGAATGTAGGGCCTCTTTATGACAGTGACCTGGAACCTGTATTAATGTTACGACTGGCTCTGCAGCTCCTGCACTCTCTTATAAAAGCAATCTCTGTTATGAATATTGTTCCTTCTAGGCATAAAATAGTATTTGAATTTCACCTTTACAGTCTTGTAGTCCCACTCAGGACGTGTCTTTGTTTTTTCATTATCCACTACTTCTTCGTGGTTTTCCCCTTCATAAAAAAAAGAGTCATTAATCACCTCTGCCTGTCTTCTAACGGCATACAAAAGCATGTTAACCTGTACTTGGACCTGTACATCAAAGCTGTACTGTTTAGCTTTAGTGTTACTGTACTCAGAAAATGTCGAAGCGATGGCTTGAGATAGGTCAATCTGTTGAGTGGGAGAAGTGATAGGTTTCTGGTTTCTTGAACTCTACCATTTCTCACTTGTTAGGCATCCTGTTGGCTGCTTCTGACACCATGTCATAGACAGCTATCCTTTTGAAGAAGTCAAGGGGGACTACCAAGGTGCAGCCTCTATACCTCAGCTTTATTCCTCAAAACTGTCCCGATGTACAGTGTGTGATCACAAGTCTCCACGGCAATGGAAGCCATTTTGACATATATCAGTAAAATATCTTGCATAAGCTCTAAAAATCCAAAGGAGAAACTTGTAACAAGTAAACTGGTTGATAAATGATGTTTTGATGGAATAAGATGCAATGGAGAGGGAAACTGAGCATCATCAGGATGCAAATCTTATTTGTTAGTTTCTAATTTCAAATGCTCTGATGACCAGAGTTAGATAAGTGTCAGAGACTCTCTGCAACTTCGTCATTCTTGATAAATATTATTAGTAATGAGTTTGGGAGACATGGCAATGGAGCCTACCCGTCGGATAATCATGGCAGACTTTTGTGCTACAGAAATAAAACTTTCATAGTGCAGTTTTGCATCTTTGCAGTTATACGTTTTGCCCAAAAGATGTCACTGTTGTCCTTTGGAGACCCCTGACCTGAAAGGCATAAGTGCAGGCCTTTTACCAGTCCCCAAATAATCAAAGGTTTTAACACAAAAAAAATGATGCATGTGTTTGTTCCTGGAACCTTTTCAGACCTTGATTTCAATTTGGACTTTGCTTTGGCCGCTTTCACTTTGCCACGTAGGCATGTTCCTGCCAACAGAAATCAGTTTGGACCATGCATAACAATATCAGCTGAGAATATCGCAACCCTCACAAAACAGCTAATAAGTAGCTTATCATTCTTTTTATATTTTTAATTTTAGACTGCAAAATTTGATGAGGATTTGCCAAGAGGTTATCTTTATGAACCTGAGTACACTGATGAAGAACTTCATCAACTGGAAAATTACCTGTTAGAGAGAGGGGAGGGAAACAACAAGGAAAGCATCTTAAAAGTGTTCAGCATCTTTATGCTTTGAGTTGAATTTTACAGTTTCAAAAAGGTTATTTGATTTTCTAGATTAGTATGCTATGTGAATGTAATTCTCCTCTCCAGGGAAAACCTACTGAATTATTTCCATGTTTCTCTTGAAACTTATCAGGTTACTTTTCAGTTTTAGGGTATTTAATCAAAATTTAATCTTAAGCATTTGTTTTTGAAGTCTTTGCATAATCTATTTCATATTTCTATATGCATTTGATGTGTTCAAGAAGTGTTCTAGATGCGAATAGAGAATACAATACATAGATACTAAACATTTTTTTGTTTCTTAATTGGCAATAAAGATAAAGTACTAAAGCAAAGTCTGCTGCAGTTATCTTATTTGCTTCATAATAGTTCTGTGTCCCTTCTTTGTCTCTCTTGCAGATACCAGTTACATCCCTTGCATCAGTTTCAGTTCAGTCTGACAAAGGGATGTTTTTGTACGACTGTTTTTCACTGTGTGAACACAGGCTGACTGTTGATGTAATGTTCACTCTGACAGTAATAAACTGCAGCATCTTCAGCCTGAACTCCACTGATGGTCAGAGTGAAGTCAGAGTTTGATCCACTGCCTGTAAAACGACTTGGAGTCCAGGAGTCTCTAGAGCTAGCATAATAAATGAGACGCTTAGGAGATTGACCATCCTTCTGTTGATACCAGGCTAAAAGGTGGTAGCTGCTCCAGACCCGAACATTTGGACTTGTTCTGCAGCTGATGGTAACAGATCCTCCCAGATCAGCTCTCACTGCTGCAGGCTGAGTCACTGTGACCTGACCTCTGGACTCTGAGGACACAGAGACAAAAGCAAAAAGCAGCTTTATGGTTTGTCTGCTTCATTTCAGAGGGACAGATGTTCATAGAGGAGAGGAGTTTGATTCTCTGGACTTTACCTGTGAAGCAGCAGCAGAGGAGAGTCCAGATGAGGACGCAGATCAAAGTCATGTTTTTGATGAGGAGGATTTCTGTTTCTTCTGTTGTCATGAAGGACAGCTGTCAGTCATCCAGGGTTCCATTTTCAGGACTATAAGCTCTCCGAGAGCACTGGAGCATGAAGCTGCTGATGCAAAATGGCTCTATGGAAATGCCATTTATGATGTTTCATAAAAGTTTTATTTAACTTATATTGTAAAATAGAGACAAATATCTATAATATTTCATGGGACTAATTCTGTTAAGCTGTAAATCTGTATTAAAATCATTAAGGGTTAAGATTTGGTATATAACTTATAACTGTTTAAAGACTTTTAAACTATTGTATTCAAATGTGTACTCTTTCACTTTATGATTACCCATCCATCCATTTTCTCACATGCTTTATCCCAAATGGGGTCGCAAAGGGTGCTGGTGCCTATCTCCAGCTGTCAATGGGCGATAGGCAAGGTACACCCTGGACAGGTCACCAGTCCATCGCAGGGCAACACAGAGACAAACAGGACAAACAACCCAAACACTTACACCTAAGGAGAATTTAGAGATGTTATGTAACCTAAAAGTCATGGGAGGAAGCTGGAGTACCCGGAGAGAACCCAAGCATGCACAGGGAGAACATGCAAACTCCATGAAGAAAGACACCTGGGCTGGGAATCAAACCCTAACCTTCTTGCTACAAGGCAGCACTTCTACCCACTGACCATCTAGCAGCCCCTTAATGATTACAATGACTTGTCAGCCTCAGCAGATGGCCAGTAACACTAAATCTGCTACTGCTGGAGGTTTCTTTCTGTTAAAAGGGAGTTTTTTCCTCTCCACTGTCACTACAAACATGCTTAGTGTGTGGGATTGCCTTTGAGTCAGAGCTGTTGCAATCAATTGGTTTTCCTTAGATAGAAAACCTTGAATCAATTTGACTGGATGATCTGGTTGAAGTGTGAAGTGCATTGAGATGACGTGTTGAATTAGAGCTATATAAATAAACTGGACTGAATTGAATTTACTGTTTCTACTCCTTATTTATGCCAACATTACCACTTAGGGAGGAAATTTTTTTTTATTTTTTTTATAATTAAAATACAGATTTCCACAAGATAGGTTAGTGCTGATCAGTGAAATATGACTTAAACTTTTTAAATAAAAACATTTTCTAACCTTAATAAAAAATTAAAAGCAATTTTTCTAATTATATCAATTGATATTTTTTTCAATGACGCATACAGTTCTGTTATAAGATTCTTTATTGAGCTTTTGAAAAAAAAATCATTTATGTTAAGAAATGCAGTCTTAAAAGAATTAATTGATAAAAGTAATACAAAAAAAATTAAAAGAGTGCACAGAAAATGCATTAGAAGAGAAAAATACATTCATGAGTGAACAAGCTCAGTACTGGGAGCACTGGTCTCTCCTCAGTGTCTCTGTGACTGCAGACTGGGAGCCCTGGGTGGCCTCACAGGTCACAGAGCCCACCTTCTTCCACTGGTCTGCAGGGAGCCTCAGGGTGCTGCTCCAGCTGTAGAGGCCGTCCTTCTGCATAACTCCTCTGCTCTTGTTCTCCTCCCAGGTGAAGGTGTTAATGCTGCCCTCCACCTTCCAGGACAGATTCCAGTCTGAGGGGAAGCCCTTATTGGCCAGACACACGAGGGTGGCCTTCCCCTGCTGCAGATCCTCACTGGAGGGGGGCAGCACTGTCAGGGTGGGGCGGGTATTTTCCACTATATAGAACAAATATACATTTGAGAGGGGAGATTAAACGGCTTGAAATTTCATTTCCCGCTCTCTTTTCTGTATCCATGGTAACATATCTGCATCACTGCTCAACCTTAGCAACAGACAAGTTTCAGTACCACACATAAAAACTGACATTTCTTCTTAAAGTTTTCCATTTATTTCTTATTAATTAAACTGCAGCATCTTCTAAATCTAAATAGCTTTTCTAAAACAATTTTTTTTAACCTTTTTTAAAGTTGCATTGACAAGATCTTTTCTGATATCTGGATATCGCATACTAATAAAATTTTCACAATAGTCATTTATTTTTGTAATGTCAATACACCATTTAAAAAATGAAAATATAGATATTTTTATATCAAAAATCATCATCAGAACCTAAGAGAAAATACGTATGAGCCAAAGACTACACACATAGTGACTTCGATATTATGGGTTTACATATATCCTACTCTGCTTACAGAAATAAATGACGTATTATATTGAGACAATTTTCAAAGCTTATTCAATTAATGTTACTTTAAAAACAAAGAAAAAAATAAAAACAGATAGCAGCCTATTTCACATCACTACTCACTAACTTTAACATTTTCTAAACTAAAGCTAAAGA